TCATCTTATCTTGTTAACTAATCCAAGTGTAGATAGTCTGAAGATATATGTTGCATTTGAGTAAGTAACAGTCAGGTGATTTATTATTTTCAGAGACAAATTACTATTAGCAAAACAAATGAAGATGGCTAGTTAGTTTTCTGGTGCTGGATAATAAACACATTCAGTTAAATAAATGTATAGACTAACATTGTTATTTTCATAAAATATTCTACTGAGTGGATGAGGGATACTGATTACAGCATTTGATATATTTTCTAATGTGAATTCAAAACTGAGCAATCAAGTGATACAATATGTGAACTAATTGTAGTACATGGAACATGCAGAAAAATCTTTATATGTGAGGTTCGACAGAGGCTTAGAATGGTCGGCATCATTATAAAATTAATTACATGCACAATGATTGTGAAAAGCAAATCTAATGATCGAAAATTCCAGGCTGAAATTATCAATGGCAGTTGTCCTAGAGACATTGAACAGCGACATAAATGACAACATGAGGTTTAACATATACATTGCATCTAAAATGTAATGCCAGTCTATTGAGAATTGCATTGCTGTTCTGCCAATATATATATCCATTCATTCACATCTTGACTTCAAATCAACACAATCTCTTATTCTTGTTCACAGTCTATCAATAAAATATTAGATATTTAACCCCATTGCAGCAGTGTTATTATTTAATAACGAAAAATAACGTCAGTTCTATCTAAAATAGAATTTTATTTAATTTTGATACAGGTATGATTTTGAATATTCTTCATGTAAGTGCAAGAGTGAATCATTCATCCTGATAATCCCTTTCCATTCAGTTTGCGATTCATAAAGAGGGCTTAAGTCCATTAAGTTTATTGGATTTCAGATTTTGATTGAGCCGACGTCCATGGATCACGAGGCTTCACAGCTAATCTTGTGTATGCTAAGTTCTTACCACGATTTTAGAAAGCAGAAAGTAAATATTGGGAAAAATACTGTGACCTTTTCCATGACCCATTTAGAATGGCTTATATTATCATCATCCATTAGTTCAAATAACTTGCTTATCCTCACCTTTTAGTGGATAGATTGCTCATGTATGTACGTCCACATATAGTGAATAACACTATTGACACTTGAGCGATGCAACCTCGGATCTTGTGAGTATGCAAGGAAATGTCTGGGAGACCATGATAAAGGATTCAGCTGGTGGTATGGTGAGGCGAGGTGAAAACGTTATGCATTTGAAGGTAGTTATGTAGCGGTGCATTAATCTGAGATACACTATCCTTGAAGATAGATCACTTTGCCTTATTGCTCGTGGAATGGAGTACAGATGGTATACTTCTGATCTTGCTACACAGCGCTTCTGTGTTACCATATTAAACGAGTTTCCATGTTATCAATTGAGGAATTATAACAGCCTGACATTCTATTATACAGATACTTATCCGCTATCCTAAAAAGATTGAGCAAAAATACTTTTCAAAATTCTTTTTAGCTTATTCTCAAAAGCTGTAAGAAATTGAGAATTTATTCTGGGTGGGAGATGAATTGTGTTTAACTCTAGACGCGGTCTCCAATGTTTGGATTTTGTAGTGTCTTCGCTGGATAAATTATTTGATAGAGAGGTGTACAGCGTGCAGCATCATGAATTAGATGCACCCGTTGGTCGGACTCTGGTTATTATGATTTGGTGCGTTAAAGCTGTGTTTTCTGGATGGTGGTCCAGCTGTGGTCACTACAATAGTGTTAGCAGCCTGCTGTCCCACGCATGGTGGTGCACTAGGTCCTCCAGTTGGAGTCAGCATACGAGCCTTGTGGTCATCGTCAGTGCCGAAGCTGTGGGTTCTCCGTGCAACGGCACATGCAGCTTGTCATGCAACAGGTCAAAGCTGCAGGTCCTCTGTGGGTCAAAGCCCCATGATGTGACACGCAAGTGGAATGGCATGCAGCTGTGGTCCCACTGGTGCTGCAGCGTGTCTCCACTGTGGTGCAGCTGTGGTGTCTGGCACCCGGGTGGTATTTGAATCCAGCTACAGAAGAGCTGTACGTTGATTTTCTTCCTGAAAGGTATGGCATTATAGTATCTCTGGCAAGAGATTATCAGCGCCTGGAGAGGTAGGAATATTGGGTAGAAGCAGATGGGCAAGTTCAGAGGTGGATTTGGGTGTAGTATTTTGTTGAGATGTCATTTTAATAGGACACTTGGGTGCAGTTGATATTTGGGAATTTGGGGGGCTTCATAGTGAATGGGGGCCTCTTATGCAGGTTTGTGTGGACCACATGGGGAGCTTTCTAATGAATGGATTCTGGTGATACAGGGGTCTAGAAGGTGGTGG